TCAAACCCATTCTATGGTATAAACCATTGAATGGAAACAGTGATGAGAATGTGTGCTCTTTTTATCGGAAAGCCATTCAGTGGAGAATTTGACTCAAATATTATCATTCAGTTTGTGATATATTTTCCCGTTTTTTATTTCTTTATGTTTTCGAGTGCTTTGAATTCAATAATTCAATAAATAAATCAGATTTTAAAAAGAATTTCTATACATTCTCTCAAATTGTGATTCTCTATATGAACCCACCATATAATCGACTTCAAAGCCTTTTTCCACTTAATTTCCTAAATATAAAGTAAATTTATTGCAAACAAATACTAACAATATTTTTAAACCTATAGCTATGCGTCTGCCGTCGCGGCCGCACAGCCCGTCGCCACGTATGCCAACATTGCCGGGTACTACACATTCATACATACATTTCCAATCATTGCCTTATTCTGTAGTCTTATCTAATCATATCATATAATTTCATTTGATAGATATGGACGTGAATATGGAGATCCATATTTAGGACACAGCTTAGGACCCGTCACCGGTTATGGCGTATGAATTACACTATTTATTGAATTTAATTGATATAATTACACTAAATTTTGCAATTTATGTGACAGGCCACCGTATACAGGGGTGGATACAGTCGGTTCGCCCCCTATTGAGAATTACTATCAAATTATATACCGTACTATAAAAGCATCTTTGAAATCATCTCAAACACGAATTCAATTCTTCAATAAATACTCCAATTTTGTAAAAAAGAAATTTTTATAAAATTAATTCCGGTATAAATGATGATATATTATTCAGATACCGTAAACTCAATACTTATTGTTTAGGATTAAAGTAATTATTTAAGAAATACTCATTTTAATCGATTGATATTGATATCAATGAAAGTTATATATGTTTTGAATTAATTTTTATTGTCATTTTAATTAAGAATTTTTATTTAAACACAAATATATTATGAGATTTATATTTACTTTATTAAATTATTTAATAATTATATGAGATTTGAGTAATTAAAATATGAATTAATAATTATTGTCATAATATTTGTTATCACTTTTACTTATATATAACGTAAAGAATACTAAATTGTTATGTAATTTCATAAATTAAAAATCCATGAAATGTAAAAACTTATT